TGGACAAGTGCTTAGTGTTATACAAATGCGTGTGCAATTTTTCAAGGCATTTATCTTTCATGGATGCGTCTCGTGGTCTCAGATCTATTTTAGTGTACTGTTCGATTTTGAAAGTTAAAAATACAATGCTGCCTCATTCAGTTTCAGATTTGCATGATGAGCAAATTAGCTTTTCATAAGAACAACTTCATCCCTCTCAAATTGCAAAGGAGATTGGATGATTCAATCCACCAAAACCAACAAAATGAGCTCCACCCCTGCCCAAACAAGTCAAACTATAATAAAAAGGAGGCCCGACTGCTCACTTGGGCCAAAATTGTCCAACCCAGCACCTGAAGGAGCGCGACGTTAAGGTGACGTCATAGTGAAGTCAATAGCATTATTATTATTATTTTTGCGCTAGGTGCGTGAGTGCGAGTGGAACGACCAACTTTGCAGCGTTGGGGCCCACACTACAAGAGCACTTACCCCTCAGCCGTTCGATTTGCATTGGATTTCTATCCGACGGTCCAAATTTTTTTAACAAAAAATTTAAAAAGATGGAAATACACTAAGTAGAAGGGATGAGTTTAGTCTCACAATAGGTTAACAATGAGAATCAAACCTAATACCTTTCACATACAAATGAAGAAGAATATCACTAAACCATAGTACAAAGTGGCCGTACATTAATTATTAAAAAAAAAAATGGAAATACTATCCAAATTATAATCTCTCAAGTGAAGATACGGTTGCCAGAAATGCCGTTAATGGATTCCTGCCGGCTCCGAAACTCACACCAATGTACATTCGGATCCATATCCATACCCGTACGGGCGATACCCATACTCGACCTCCTCAATCAAACCCAGAAACGCCGCCAATCCCATTCTCTCTCTTCACTCTCTGTCTCCCTCCCAACAAGTTCTCGGAAGCTCTTCTCCGCGCGGAGAAGTAGCAGTAGCAACGGACCCCAAACCGACGTCGCTTTCGACGAGGCAGCTTACGAGGCCGAGCGGCTCAGCCTCGACGCCAAGGCTCGGGAGCAAATGGCCGAGACTTCGAAGATTGAGACCGAGCAAAGTGGAGTTGCCGAAGACCCGAAAGCTTGGAAATGGGTTATCCGGAAGAGAATTTGGGACATAATGGAGGCCCGGAACATAGCCCAGAACCCCCGCCCCGTTCACCACCGCATCCCAAACTTCGTCGGCGCTTCTGCGGCTGCCGATAAAGTAAGAGAGCAATTTAAAAATTAATTTTTTTGGGGTGTGTGTGTAGAGAAATTTACAGAGAATATGTATTTTGATTATGTGGGTTTGGACAGTTGGGTGGGTTGGAAGTGTTCCGGGTCGGGGATTGCGTGAAGGTAAACCCGGATTCACCACAGAAGCAAGTCAGGTTTCTCACTCTTTCTGGTCAGTTTTTGCTGTTAACATACCTACTTATGGATTGTTTTGTTTGTCATCCAATCTGATGTGCGAAATATGAATGGTCATCTTATAAAATCTCTTTTCAGCATAAAAAATGGTTAATAGCTGTGCTTTAGGGTGACTAAATCTACTATAAAAAAGCCCCCTACGGGAAGGGGGTTCGTTCGAATCCCCTTTCCGTAGTTTTGAGTAGATTAAAATACCACTCGAATTAAAAATAATATCTACCATAAAAGAAGGAAACTGGTTTCCTCTCACCTTTTCTGGTATTTATGTCCCTTGATTTCGTTTGACTTGTTTCATCGAGAGGCTAGAAATAGAAAGTGGTGTGCAGGAGGAGAAAACAGTGTGCGGCAGCCACTTCCCTAAAAAATGTTCTCTTGCATAAGAGTCAGGGACACAGTGAAACATGATTCTACCTAATAATTGCAATACTGTATTGATTGATAGTCGGTGCAAATAAATTGAGTCGCACTTGATGGAAATCGGAGGATTGTATCAATGTGCACCAGGAACCAGTAATGGCTACTGCTCACTTCTAAAATCCCTTGTAAGACCTTCATCTTGTGCAGGTGGGAAGAAGTTGTTAACTCCTCAACCGCGTTTAAGGACTGGGTTTTTCTCTGTGCTTGAATCTGATTTGTTGAATCCTAGTACCATCAAAGAGGCTTGTACGTCTGTCGGAGCTGCCAAGTATGGGAGGCCAATTGGATTAGATGAGAAAATCAAGGTTGATCTTATTGTCATTGGCTCGGTTGCTGTTGATCCAAGGACAGGTGCTCGACTTGGCAAGGGTGAGGTAATCATTGGGCATTTTTGTTGTCCTTGTCATACTAAAAGTACTTTGGTTCAGTGTAACAAACCAAATTTGAGTTTTAGGCAAAAGTTTGGTTAGTATTGAATGCAAGTAACTCCTTTTCTGGAGTATTGATAGGAGAAGGTTTTGTATTTGAAGTTTCAGCCTGGTCAATCTGAATTTGTCTTGGGTAATGCCATGAAATTGAGTCTTTGACATACTGTAGGAGCTGGGAATAATTTTTTGAATTCTTTTGCTTTGATGTATCAGGGGTTTGCTGAACTTGAGTACGGGATGCTGCGATTCATGGGAGCCATTGATGACTCAACACCAGTTGTGACAACTGGTAAGTGAGTTGTCTTTGCTGCTAACCCTCCTGTTTCTTCTGTATGGTATCGTGCATATTCAAGAAGATTAAATTTGTCTCTGCTTGCATGCCTATTCCGTCGTTCTTTTGATCAAGAGGCATGAAAGGTTTGCATATGAATATGACTGTTGTTTGAACATTTGTGATTCTCGTCTGTCTTTAAGACATTGCTCGGGTATATTGTTTCCATTCACTGAATAACTGTAAACCAGTTTGCACAACTTTGGTTAACTTTTGTGTTTGCATTAGATGTAACATGTGAAATTTCTTGCAGTGCACGACAGTCAATTGGTAGATGATATTCCGATTGAAAAGCTATTAATCCACGATGTACCTGTTGACATCATCTGCACTCCAACGCAGGTCATTTTTACCAACACATCAATTCCAAAGCCTCAAGGTTGGTCAACTTGTGCAATATGCTTCACTTCTTTTTTTATATTCCTGGGAAACTAATTTCCTGGACATATCATGGAATCGTCTTGTTATACTACCATATGTCCATTTTTCAGTACTGTATCAGATTTTTTATACCAATATTGCTTCGGTTATAGGGATTTACTGGGACAAATTGTCTCCTGAGAAGCTGGGGCAAATTAGAATACTTAGAGAGCTCAAGAGAAGGATCGAACGGGAGACTGGACAAAAGCTTCCGTGTGGCCCATCTGAGAAGCTGCCTCCCACAGCTCGACGAGGGAGATAAAATTGTGGGATCTATAAAACAAATAAAACCGTGTAACAAGAAAGACGGAAGGAACACAAGAAATTGGAATTTATAGTGTAATATAAGACTTGGCTAGTAGTCACCTTGTTTTAAGATTTGGCTTGTACTCACCTTGTTTTTACTTTTATTTTACTCAAGTTTTTTTAGGGCCATGTTGTTCGATCTTGCTTGAGTTTTAATGTATAGTTGGATGTGTAGATGATTTATGTGTATTGTATTGAAATAGGTTCAATTCTCTTGTTTTACTTGTTTTTTTTTTTTTTTGAACAAACGATATTATCTATTCTAAGAGGATGGGGAGTGGGCTAAGCTTCACAATGGGCTAGCAATAATATGGTATAGGTTCCCTTTTGTCGAGAATTGAACTTAAGATCTCTCATTTGCCGTAGTACTAAGTGGTCGTCATTACATATACTTTTGAATTCTAAAATATATGGCTGTACAAACTCTTACTTATTTCAACTACCTGGTATAAATCATAATTTGTCTTTCTTTAACATTAAAAAGCATTTTCGCTAATAGCGCTAAGTCCTACTCGTATAGGATTCCTTCTGATTGACAAAACACAAAAGAAAACCATGTTGTAGGGGGAAGGCAGCATTTCATACTAAAAGCTTCCAATTACTGTTTTTGCTGAACAACTTAATAAAACGTATGCAACAAATTAAGTGGTGGAGTTTTACACACGTTCAACTGAGCCATCTTCAACGACATGATCGACCCAAAAAAACAACATAAACATTACTCTATTTAGCTACACAAAAACTAAAAAGATATCAGAGGAAAAGACAAAAAAACGCTAGAGGAAGGGATTGAACCTTCGACCTTGTGGTTAACAGCCACACGCTCTAACCAGCTGAGCTACTCCAGCTTTCTAGGAAATGCATACAAAATTAATATTTTTATAATTTATAAATATATTTCTTTATATGCTTCTACATCATGAGGGATTTTAGGAATTTATAATTACAGATCCTTGCGGAGATCACGTTTTTATTACAAGTTACAACAGCAATGTCATTGTCTGTCCTTCCCTTAAGATAGATAATTCAAGGAAACTAATTTTCCACACCATTTTTATTTTTTATCCATCTACATAACCTTGCTCATTAATATTCATCGATTATCTTTGATTTATTCAATGAAACGGCTAGAAATCAATTTTTTATATGCGAATTATGGTTTGTAATTGCGGAGAAAGATTGCACATTAATGTGACATCAATTCACAGCGCAAAGCCACTGGGACATAATATTTTATATTCAAACAAACAGTTAATGCATGTCCATTGATTCTCCTTTGATTTATTCAATCAAACCGGCTAGGAATAGACAGAGATGCAGTGGGATAGACGGGGGCGTTGAAAATCCTTTCCTCAAAATCATCATACCAGCATTTCTATATTCCATTTCAACGGCGTAAGGCAAAGTATACGCAAATTGAATACATCGTACCAGTGAAAAATACTACGTAACATACAACATCACGTAACCTACTCCTACATAACGCATAGGATCACGAATACGAAATACAAACCGAAACCCTAGCCATGAATCCATGAACAAAAAATAAAGCTTGTCTCATGTTTTCTCATGTCTAGCTGTGTTTTGAGAGCAAGCAGAGCAGTTATCTTACCACGTACAACACCGGCGAAATATATCATGTTGCGTACAACTGAACCTGCCCTATAAGCCCTCCGTATGACTTGATTCTAAAGGGACACCATTCTGTTCAGTGGAATCCTGTCGCTTTGACGAGGAATCCTTTCGATTGGAGAAATCACTTGCGGCATCGTCATACCAACTGAGATTATGATCTCTGCATTTCAGGGGAGAAACAATTGTCAAACCGTTATGCAATATAATAGTACTACTCGAACATCTCTGAAAAACTAGGAAAGAAAATTATGCTAATTGTCACAAAATCATCCAGGGTTGAATTTAAATCCTCCTTCCGAGCCAAACGACTTCTCTTTTCGGACAGAAGTCAGTGAAAGAAGTCAGAAAATGCAAAAGAAGTACACTTGTCAAAAGAGTATAACAATCAAGTTGCAAGAGAACATATACCCCAGCATAAAGGGATCAGTGAGAAAAATATCAAATCCTGTTCGAATACAAATCCATCTTTAATATAGAACAAAAATACTCGAAACCCAATTTTCTCCACCGAATTCAAATCGGATACAGAACCAATAATACAATTAAGATTTGATTTTGTCTGGCTTAGAATAACTTGAACTGATTTATTTTTCATTTTACGTCTAACTCTTAAAATTCTTGGAACAACAAACAAATTGTTTGAGAAAGCCATCAAGGAACCTCGTCTGGCTTTTGATGAACACCGGAATATGATGAATGAGACTCACGTATCAGAATACAAAAACAATTAACAACCCAGCAAAAAATTTGAAACTATTTGGACCCAACTTCTTACGATATGTTGTCAAGCCAAACTATTCTCTCAAGATACTTGGTGTCACAATGGAAATCTCTCACTTATTAGATAGGCAATAAATCTATATGTGTTTTTCATTAAATTGTTGCTCCTTTTCATGTAGTTTTAAACAGTTGGGAGGACAACCCATTGTATGCATGTTAATCACTCGCTGAATGGTAATATTATCCCCACCAAGATCAAAATTTTAATTTGAACGGGAATTTCAACCAGTTTGTTATTGGAATGTTTATCAAATTAAAGCACGTCAGCTAAACCTATAAGACATTGTAAATTACCGATCGATCTTTGTTCCATATCAAACATCGGCTTTCTTGGTTACAATGTATGCGTATCCTTTCTTCAATGAATAAGTAACTTTTAGGAAAAAACACAAGGCAAAATGCACAGTATGCAGAGCAATCATGTCCGTGTATGAAATAGACTATATGGTGCATGACTGCATGTCCACGAAAGAGGAAACAAACCTATGCCTTCCCGAACTGACAAATTTGGTCGTATGATCTCTTCAGAATTGACAAGAAAAATATCGCCAATGTATAGATGGTTTGTTGGGACATAAACACTACACAACTCCTCATCTCCATCATCCCTCTGTAATCAACCACAAAACAATCAGATCCTAGCTCATGGTTTTTATGAGAAAATCCAAAATAAACTACAATCAGAAGTAACTAGTAGAATATTAATATCTTCCATAGCAAACCATCACAAAACAACCGTTTTGTTTCTTCCATTTACAGCTTATTTTGCATATAAAAGTTGTAGATGACATTTCGATACTCTTTTCTTTTTCTTGCCTTTTAGAAGGCTGTTGTGATATAGCTGTGAACATTATTCAAATATATTTCTTCAAAATTTAATGGATTGCTTTGCGGATTGCAAATAAAAATTGGTGATATCCATAGTATTTTTGTAATACAAGTGTTATAATATTAGAGTTGCCTGTAAATATGAATAATTCTTCTTTACATTTAATAAACTTAAGTATCTCTCGCATGAACTGGGCTTGCAAAAAATAATACTGCCAGAGAAATCACTTCTGTACTTCCTAGGAGGTGCCAAAACTAGCCCTTTCTTTTTCGATAAAAGAAAAGCAAACAAAAAAACCCTTTTTCTCAGATATAAAAACTGCTTTTTGAGGGAATCAAATAGCTGTCAGACAGCCATTCCTCTCCATTGCATTAATAACCAACATAATCCATCACCTGCTTCTAAAAGTAAGCAGAAAAAAGTTCTTCGGAGTCGAAATTTGGGCCAAAACAATCTTAACATACAACATACAACTAAACTTACTTCTTCCAATACACACCAAACTGTTGACAAATAGAAAATTAAACCATGTTGTGGTGGCTGTACACGAAGTTCTAATATCATGTAGAAGGTAGATCTATTAATTGGACAGTCCAACATACCTGAAGTGTTACAGATGATGTGATAAAACCAAATGCATATTCACCAACTCGAGGATGACGAATAATTGCAACCTCTTTAAAAGCAGTGGTATTTTGATCTGTCATATAGAAAAAAAGAAATCATTTATGACTATACCAAAGAGGAGAAAAAGAAAAGTAAACACTGAATGGATTCCATGTCAAAAATACGATATTTCTACCATGCACCAAACCACACACTCACAAGGTAGATGGCATCACAACCTTTACTAGCTTAGGAGAAACTAATTCAACCTACCAAATAATATGAAATATAACCATATTTGTTTGGATTAGAAAGACCATTGCATGTGTGCACTCACCACTTATTCCTCACCATGGCAACAATAGGGGTCAATTCAACGGTTTATCTTAGATAGGGAACCATATGTGTCTCTCGTGTACCCAAGCAAGGGAACTTATATCGCAAATTCACATCATTATTCAACTTAGGTCAAACAGCGTAATGAAAGCCAATAGCAGAGGTGAGAAAAACAATCAGGCAGAATTTACCAAAAGCCTATATGCCATGCTGAATGGCTTTAAAATCATAGCCACTTCAGATAGGTTGGTGACCCTTATGTGAAACCTACCAATTTTTGGGCTTGGATTGTTATTTCAACAAGCCTGAAGTTAACCTTGGCTTAGTTCATTTGTTGACCAACTCCTAACTCAAGTGTGGCCAACATGCTTGCAAGTGGATGAGCTCCTTTAGTTAGAGGAGAACATAAACCCTAAGGCCTTGTTTGGCACACCGTATAAGAGTATAAGACATTGGATAGTATTATATAATACGAAACAGGTGTTTGGTGAGCTTTTGTACTAAACAAGCATCGGATTATTAATCTGGCCCCACCTAATTTATCTCCCTTACACCCGCTTGTTTATCCTGTCTAAAACCTTGGTATTATTTAGTCGGGTTCACGCTAACAAAAACGTGCTGGCTATTCTCCAAGCCATCTCGCCATCTCCTCTGCATATTGCTAACTCTGTCTCAAGGTACCCTCTCCCTCTTTCTCCATCCCTACCTCCGATCAGCATCAAGCAGATTTCAAAAGGAAAACCAGAGGTGGCAGATCGAACTCAAATCACGTCTTTCCTGTTCTGGAAAGACATCATCTGGGTTTTTGGCTTAACTGTTCCTTGATTGTGTTGGTGTGTGGTGCTTAAACTCAAAACTGGGCAAGATTTCATCTGGGTTTTTTTATTTCAATGGATTAGTAACTCAAATCTGGGGGAGATTTCATCTGTGTTTTTTTAATTCAATGGATCAGAAACTCAAAATTGGGTTTTTTTATTTCATATGGGTTTTTGGCTGCACCAATTCGCCTGGAAAGCATTGAATTGATGATTTTTTTATTTGCGTTTCCTTTTTTAATGAAAGAATTTGGAGGTTTGATTCTGGAAATTTGAAGGTTTTGATTAGTGTAAATTCATGGCACTTTGTGGAGAGTCTGCTCAAAGCTTCCATTAACAAGTGATTGTGAATTTTTATTTTGTTGGATTGTGAATTTTGTTTTGGTTGGAATACACATTTGTGATTTTTTTTTATTTTTTATTTTTTTAATTTGAATCATCAATCCAAAATTGTTATTAACTAGTACCAAACACTGTATAAATAATACAGTCATTAGTCCGATATTGCACCATACGCCCGATTAATTTAGTTAGTACCATCCGATGACTATTTATCCTATCCGATTGAAATAGGTAATACAGTCCCAAGGTGCCAAACAAGGCCTAAGATAATTAGGACAGCCATGCAAGAGCTTAACAAGGACATTAAAGTATGGACCGAGAAATTGAAATAATAGCAATTACCTGGAGAGATTGCAGAACTAATCTGTTTAGAGGCTGAGTATATGTGCTTCATGAACGGCATTCGTTTTATGAACCATTCTCCAATCCAGAAAACTGTTGCACCCATCCATGATGAGGCAAAAATACCAATCAAGAATATAAAAAGTAGGGATGTAACAAATCCTAGGCCTGCAACAATAAAAAGAAGTATTCAATACTGCATAAAAGGGCATAGATAAAACAATTAACCACCCATGACAAAATTGACGTGACGAGGACATCAGTGCTAAGTCATTTAAGATGCATAACCAAAACAGATGCAGGAAGAGGCCTTAGAGCTCTACCTTTTTGTGGCTGGATTAGAGTTTTCTTCAGTTTCAAATTTTCAATGGACCTTGGAGTTACTCTCCAAGCCTTTTTTAAGTAGATTCTAGAAATTAATAAGTTAATGCATCTAGAGTTTTCTGGGAGTCAAAAAGTCTTTCGTCATAAGAGCTATCTGGACTATAAGCATATGTAAATGCTTTTAGGCAAAGTAATGAAGTTTATGAATAAAAATCAGCTTTCAGAAAAATACTTTGATCTATCCTCCTGCAAAGGGAATTTGGTGTGAAGCCCTGGAGCGAATCCAGTTTCTTCTCTTCTTCTAAAGAGCTTCTATTCCCTCTTTCTTACCCTTCTCATCTTCTACCAGGTCTATAATCACAACTCTATAGGGATTACTACTGCATTGGAGTTGAACCGGCCCTAAACTAGAGGGATCAACATGGACAGAGAAAGTTCGAAACTACTTAGTTTTGGAAATTTTCGAAGGAACATACTGTGGGTATCAAAATCTGCTTGTTTCATGTTAGTTTACTACTTTTAATTTCAGGGTGCTGTGGGTGTTTGTAGTTTCTTTTGAGTTTTCATTGTTGAATTAATTTTACTATTAATCTTGGCCCTAAATACTATCATGCTGCATCATGACGAACATTTAATCTATTATCCAGCAAAACTTAGTATGAACTTAAGATATGATTCTGTTTAGACCAAAATGTTAAAGATGGACCAAGGTATGGAAATTTTCCGTACATGATGAAGTAATAATCTATGCTTTGCCACCACTAAAAAGTGTTACACCAATACCAAATTTGGATAGTCACTGCAACTTGAACTATTTGGAAACTTCCACAAAACCTATTCCAATCAAATCCCTATAATATTACAGTATTATTAGAATTTTCGCCAATTTTTGTGGTCAAAATTATTACTAGTATTTTAAGACATGCAGAAACATATGCAAGTAAGAACTAAGGAGTCACAAACTACTTCAAGTATCCAAATCTCTATAGCATTTATTTTATAATTGGTTATTATAATGTTAATATAGCAATTATCATTATTAAGTTTTTCAGAACTATTCACAGAGATTCATACATCAAATTCTAATTCCTTAAGCATTAGTCATCGCTGTCCCAAAGTAAACATCAATTTCGTGATCTGGAGTCATACCAAATATGTTAACCCCGAGCCTGGCATATATTGGACTGAAGAAACCATCTACAAACTGAACAAACCACCAAGTGATGAAGAATGTGACTGCGACAGGAAAGAGAACCATACTGCAAATTCACAATTCAAAACTAATACGTTATAATCAAACAACATTTTTATAAAAGATTATACAATTAAAAAAAAAAAAAAGAACCTTACCATCCGGTCATGAATTTCTTTGAGACCCAACTCTGAAGCACTGCATAGCATGCCTGATGAATGCACAAGTTGTTTGGTATACTTTATGCATTGAAAAACAATCAACAAAATAATTTAAAAAAAAAAAAAAACATTTATCCAGTAAAGATGACTTTAAATAGGACTAGATAGAGGAAAAGGACTAACATAACTTCCTAAAACCAGTTGGTACAAAATCTACTTCGGACCACTATCATAGACAATTATGCCCCTTTTGTTAACAGTTTTCTTAACCTTATGATATAGTCTTTTTAGAGGTTATATAAATGCAAGCTGTTTCTAAGAAGGATAACATTTGCACAACAAATGGTACTTCAAACTTGGAACAAGTATGAAGAAATTAGCAACACTTGTTTATATTTCGAGTTGTTACTGCAGATCCATTTCTCAAGGCTACCCATTTGTAGTTTATTCAAGAGCTCAAAATAAGATTTTACCATTTTTTTGTTTTATACAAGCAATGCTGGGGAAGGGGGGAATTCCAACTCGATACTTTGGGTGCAGGGTTGAATGCTATAAACCAACCGAGCTCCAAGCCCCTTGCTTTACCATCAGAACAATCTATGTTTTAAACAGATTCCAGACCCCCTAATACAACATTTCTCTATCTCGAAAAGCTAATTAGGAAAAAGTTGGCATTCAACAACTAAATTAAACCCACAAACAGTAGGGACAATTAAGAGATCATCAGGACCAAATCAAAGCTTATTAGTAAAGAAAACCGAGTTTCACTACTTCTACTACAAATTATACCTAATAAGCGTTCAACTATTAATTATGGTTGTTTCAAATTCATAATTAGGGTTTTATGCTCAAATCAAATCCCAAACTGCCACATGAAAGAAAAGAAATTTGATTAAATTTCCAAATTGGGGAAGAGGTATTCTGAAGTGAGCCGGACAGTGACAGACGGACAGACAGACCTTGCGAGTTGAGGAGTTGGGGGAGCTTGGCGGAGACCTGGAAACATCTTCAGGGTCGGTTTGGGTCAGCGGACTCGACGACGTAGGCTCTTTAGCTTCCGCCATTTGGCTGCTTCTCCGTCGTTGTGTTACTTAACCAGAGCGGCGGAGACGGGAGACGGAAGACCGAAGAGGAAAAGCAGCCGATTTCAGTTGGCCACGACTCGTCGGACTCCGACTCGGACTCAGACTCAGATTTTCTTCGTAGACACCGTCTCTCTTCTGACTGTTGCTAACCCCTGTTTGGCTGCGCGGATAACTTGTGTGGTTTAACTCTAGATCCACCTACCCAATTTCCAACACGACTTCAAATTTGTGCTGTTGATTTGTTTGGGACTCGTGACCTCCATTTTGTCTTACCAACTAGAGCGAGTTAAATTGTTAAAGGTTAGAAGATGGAAAATTGGTAAAGATCGAACCCGTACGAAGAATTCAAAATGCAAAGATATTTTTACATTCTATCATTACGGTAAAGTGTTATCTGCATGTAACCGTCATATGCATTTTATATTTCAAAGTGGAATAGAAATTTCAAATTTAGTTCAAGGGTTAAAATATAGTATGTATCAAAATCTTTGTAAGTCTAGATAGAAATAAACGTTTTAATTATTTGTTTGGAATTGTTTTCACAAACTTAGTTATTTATTTGCCTTGTGTGCATTCTATTTTAATGGAAACTTGATGAGTAACATTGTTACAATTATTATCCAAAATAAAGAGTTTAGGGGGGAAGGTAAAACATCGATAGAAATTCTAATGAAGTTAGCCAAAAAAATTATTGCTACACATTCCATGGGCTATTAGGGGCATATCAAAAACGTGCTGGTCGAAATATGATTTCCAAATTAAGTTTTGAACGTAGATGTTGTAAACAGGAGTGGCAATGCCATACGCAAAAAGGACTGATCACCGACTTTGTAAAAAACCCGTCCATCGATAACATGCCACTACATTTTCTCTATGCGCTATAGATTCGGCAATCTAACATATATATATACAAGGCAGAAGGAGAACAGAGTATGCCATAACACTTCCAATGACCGAAAAGAAAACATAATTCAGACTGCTAAAAACTATTTACCCTTTATTAATGAGCATGGTCTGGACTACGAAGGCCTTCAACCCAAATAAGCTCATGCATCATCACATGAACCTAACAGAGTAACAGGGACACCCTGCTAGCAAGTAGAAACCATACAAAGAGAATGAAACATTCCTATCGTTCTTGGTTGATAGTCCATTAATTCTTCAGGCCAAGCATTACATCGTGCACACAAGGAAAAACAAAATTGATCACGGAAACCGTTTAACGAATAGCAATTTATATGCCATGGGCACACAAGGACGGAGGAGAGCAGTGCAGTACAACTTGGTCGAACCGGGGCAAGGCTGCTCGGTTAACTTTGGTTCATGCTCAGCTTCGGTCGAGAAACCCTATCCAAGAATAATTTATAATCAGCCGAGCTTGAACTCATTCAACAGAAATCATGCTATTGCTATTTACTAAAGAAGCACAGGTAAACGATCACAGCCACACAATTGATGTAAGTTTGCAGCTTAGGTGGAGGTGCTTTAACCCCGTCATTAGGTTTTATTGGAGAGTATTAGAACATAAACTTCACAGTGATCAGACCATGCAGTAATGGCAGAAAGAATAAGGTAACTAAGCAATTTGCATCAAACCAGACAGTGCAATAAGATATTCCTGTCCAGCCATCATTGATTTGGACATTTTGTACTTAGAACCACCTAAAAGAACCCGTGAAGAGCTACTCGTTTGTAGACTCCTAACTTTAACTACCCCTAAGTCCTACATTGAAGATAGGTAAATCCAAGTTTAACGTTATTCAAATCATTTACCAACACAAGCTCTGTGGTTGAACAAAACCACACAGCAAATGTCCTCTGCAGTCTACCTTAGAAAGGTACTGGAGTAAATGTCAATATGCACATTAGCATGTAAACATTCAAGACAGTACAAACTATTTTTCAGGAACGCCGGACGTAACTTACACAATGCAATTGCCAGAAAGCAATGGGAAAGGGAAAAGAACAGAGGATGGAGGAACCAATATGCAAGCCAATTTGGTTGAAAGCTTGAAATGACCAGAGCATGGAGTCCTTGTCACCGAGGAACTGCAGCCTCTAGAAAAACCAATGAAGCAAATAGGAAAATCAGTAGAAGAAGAACTTCTACCGACAGAGAAAAACAAATTGATTACCGACAGAGAAAAATATAGATTAACACCACAGAGACTTGCAAAGAAACATCAATGCATCCATGTGGATCATTTATACCACAATAAGAAACTGCAATTCCATGCACTACTCAAGTACTTTGAAAACAAAAAGAGTAGAATAAGAACGATTCTCAAAGGTACCGCTGAACAACCTAACGGAAGTTTAAGAGCAGCAACTAAATAGCTGAATTAACCGAGCTGGTGTAGCTCATTCAGTGTCCAAAATGTCAAGACATGACTCAAAAGGGAAGCCCTATGCACCGTCTACGTCACATAGCCAGCAGGCCTTGTCACAACGGTGATGCAAGACCTATACCGCAGTGTATAAAAAATGAGTCAGAAATAGACCCTAATGCAGAAAGAAGAGGTAATCAGTGTGCCACTAGACAAGAAACGACTAGCTTAAGAGGTATTTGTTAATGAACAGAATGCATTAATCACATTTGTGCACTAGAAACTTGAATTATTATCCAAATTTGACACTGACCCAAGTTTTGATTCTCGAAATGAATGAGAGAAAAGACGGATAAGGGAGAAAAATCTATTCAACCATTAACAAAAAAGCCAACAAATCCCAATTAATTTCAAACAAAAAGGACTAGAAAACACTACCTTCCCTACATCTTGTTACCGGTATAGCTGTATATGCAACTAATAAAATTAAATACCCTTTCGTTTCTTCACCCTCATCTTTCACACCTATTCACACACACCCAAAAAAAAAAACCCCCAATTCCAAAAGTCAGATTCCTCTTACTTTTTAGTTTCTTGAATTCCAAGTAATTTATTCGATGGCAAATGCCGAGACCTTGAGCCAAGCACGAGAATGTACGGGCAATGCGGCAGCATTTTCTGTGACTTGATTGAGGTTTGGAACGTCAGAGACATGAACGGCCTTGAGAGCCATTGATTTTTATCTTGCAAATTTGCAGACTTGCAAAAATCAAGCTGTGGGAATTCAAGAATTATGAGGACACTAAGAAAACAGAGCATAGGGTGTAAAAATAAATCCACATATTGAATTGGGTTTATAGAGTATATAGTATTAGGTATTAAATTTGGGTTTAAAGAGATATTAATAGTTTATTTAAAAATTAAATGGGTGCAACAAGTAAGTTGAGTATAGAAATGAGTTAGATGGATTTAAATAAAATTTCCCTTGCGCTGCTTATGTGCGCTTCATTTTAGCACCATTGCATCAAATATGGACTATTAGATTGAGATACAAAGTTTCATCGTTGTGACATCAATTTCTGGATAAGAAGGAGGGAGTTCTAGCCGGTGAGATGGGGTCGTTACGTTAGTGGTAAGATAAAGGATGTCAGGGAGTCGTTCTTCCCTCTTTGGTTCACCATTTATCGTATTTTTCATTTTTTTCACATATGCATATTTTATCCACATTAGCATATTTAATGGCTTTTGAAAGAAATTAACATAATTAAGGTAATATAGACCGAGTTTTGAGTTTCACGAAGTAAAACAATAATTTTTGAGTTTCAAGGGTCATGGTGGGATCAAAATCGAGTTCCAGGGACAAAGTGAGATCAAAATGGAGCGAATTTGGCAGAAGAACATAAACACGGTAAAGTGACTCGAATTTTGAGTTGCATAGAGCAAAGTGAAATCAAAATCGAGTCTCAGGGGCCTAAAAATAGGCCTCATAAATATGGGTAAGTTGGAGTCAAGTACATGGCTCCAGCGGGCTATAGCATGGAAAATGATCCTCGCCAGATTCTTTTCTTGGGGATCTTAGGAATCTCGTGATCGTGACCGTTCATCGTACATCGTGTGGTTAATTTTCGTTAGGAACTATTTATATTTAATTTTAAATTTAAATTTTAAAATAATTTATGACCGCACGATGTATGATGAACGGTCATGATCATAGGATCCCTAGGATCCCCACCTATAGCATAGGGAGAGTTTTAATTATTTAAGGTTAAAAATACTAATCGTTTGGCCTATTTTATGATTTTTAATTGTAGTAGTCCACCTAACAAATGAAAGTCTGAATTTGAGAGTTGTTCTTAGAGAAAATAAGAGTTTAATAAATGTTAAATAAACTCATCACTTTAACCAATATTCAAATTTAATAGTAATAATATAAAACTTCTAATACCACTCATGGTTCCTTATTTTATTCATCTAAAAGTTCGAAGGCTAGAAGCCTAGAAAATAGACCATAAATTTCTTACTTCAAATTATTACTTTCAGGTTTACTATTATATAGCTTCATGCAAAGTTCTAAAAGATGCTAAGTGCTAATCAGGCGGCGGCCTAGGGCCTAGCGCTTAAGCGGTTAGTCGAGGCCTAGACGGATTTAAGTAAATTTATTATATATCATATAAATAAGTGTCTGCATATACTTAAAAAAAATACATAATTTCAATGAGATACATAAACTGCAAAATAAAATAACATATAGATTATAAAATATTAGAACATAATTAAAACATGGGGAATAAGCATATAATGTTTGTTCATCTAAGTATTCAACAAGTCTCTTACAATTTATTAAAAAAATAAAACGTAAAATGAAAGTTATCTACTTTCTATCTAAGTGAGTCGCGACCTAGGCAGGTCTGGGCGTACTAAGCGGGCACCTAGGTGGTCTAGGCAAGCACTTAAGCAGGTCTAGACACCCTTTCTTAGTTTTCAAAGGCATAAGGATTAATTGGGGCAGTGGCCAGCCGTCTGGCGCTGCCAAGGGATTTTTAGAACGGTGGATTGAGCATTTTATTTCGTAGTAATAATTTTAGTTTAGCTCACATTCCGGATAATTCCTATCTCCACCATTAAATGTGAGGAGGGAGGGAGGGTGTAGCCACTGGTAGTCTTCGCGTGAAAACACACAATTGGCTGGTGGAATAATTTTGTTTCTCAGTTGATATAGGCTTTACACCTTGACCCTTGAAAAGGCTTAATGAATCCTTTTGTTATTGATTATCAGGAGTGACATCGTTGGCAATTGTTATCAGAGAGAGATGTTATATTCGAATATATTATACATTGAATACTTGCACCATAAATAAGTAAACTTCTTTTATAAAGGATTGTATTTGGTTTCTTTAAATCTTTAAATGCCCTGTTAAGAACTTTAATTGTTTCTCAATATTAGAAAAAAAATATTGGAATGAGTTCAGTGGCAAATCCAGGATTTTAAGATTGGGGGTCCCAGGATAAAAGTTAAAAAAAAAAAAGAAAAGAAATTAGACTAGCTTGATTCCATATCATTATTTTTTATTGAATTTGGTTCATTGAATAATCAACCACATCAAGTGGTCCAGTGGTAAGGACGCGGATTTCGGCTTTCAAAATACAAAAAATAGGGAGGTCCCGGGTTTGAGGCTCAACTTGACTGTGGTCAAGAGAAAACTGAAATGCCTCTTTAACTCTTCCAGGCCCCTATAAGGGGTGGATAATTGCGACGATTTGGAAGATTAAAACAAAAATTAGAAACCTCTTCTTCTTTGTTATGAGCGCTGCTAAAGTACAAGGACAAATATGTAATAAAACAAAGTATAGTGACAAAAGTGAAAGTTCCTGTAAACTACGTGGATTTTGTGAAATTTCGTTATTGTAAATAGGACGGCTATGATTTAGCCGAACAAAAAGTGGACGGCTAGGATTAGAAATTTCGCTCAAACCCTATGTCCCCGCCTTCTTGCAGGTGAGCGAGAAGAGATCCCTAAAACCCAGACGCAGAGACATTTTTCCTAAACCCCTACTCTCTCTCTCTCTCTCTCTCTCTCTCTCTCCCCCCCCCCCCCCCTCGTTTTCTCTCTCTATAGTTTGTGGTACAGAGAGAGAAAGTATGCTGCGCCGAAAAATTAGGTTAACCAAGGAGTACTTGTACAGAAAGAGCTTGGAAGGCAAACAACGATTGCTCTATGAGAAGAAGCGCAAGATCAAAGAAGCTCTAGAAGGTTTCTCTCTTCCCCCCCTCTCTTTCTCTAGAATTTACATATATGTGTGTATGTTATTTGTTTCTAATTGGAAGTTTTGTTTTGGAGTAATTGAATTTGTAACAATTTTGGGAAATTTGTTGTCTTTGCAGAGGGGAAACCGATACCCACTGAGCTCCGGAATGAGGAGGCTGCTCTTCGTCAAGAGATCGATTTAGAGGACGAAAACACTGCCGGTATGGGGTCTATGAAAATTATCAATTTATGATCATTTATCTATGAAAGTTCTCTTTTTATTTTTATTATGTATCAATGTGTTAAATTTCTTGTGTAATCGATAATTTATTAATTAGTAATTTTTCGGGTACTAATTTAAACCTTTATTTGTTTAGTTTTCATTAAGTTATGCTGTTGATTCTTCATGGCTTTCATTTCTGAATCCCAGTCCCAAGGTCACATATCGATGATGAATATGCAAATGCATCTCAAAGAGACCCGAAAATTTTGCTGACTACTTCTCGGGATCCAAGTGCACCACTAATACAATTTGCCAAGGTTGGTCTAGCCTTTTTCATTATGTGCCACATTAGTTTTGCTGCACTCGTGTTCATTTTAGTGATATTATGTAAGGCTGGTGTTGATTATTGATTGCCGTTCAATGACACTGTTGTTTCAGGAATTGAAACTTGTTTTTCCCAATGCGCAACAAATGAATCGTGGTGGCCAGGTTGGTGCATTTTTTTGCTTAGCTTTTATTATTGATTGTGGAGATAATTTTTTCCACTCAAAGGGCCTTTGACCTAATGAATCATTGACTTCGTTAAAAGTTCTGCCATTTTCAATCTAACTGGAGGCACTAGAAGGTGGACAGAGCGGTAATCTGAATTGATGTGCACATACTGCTTTGCGTGATGCTGTTTGATTACTTCTTATGAATCAACATGCATCACCCAACCGTTGAGTTGTGGGAAGATGTTTTCTGCGCGTTTAATTTATTCAGTTTTTTTGTGTGAATTTTTATGTTTTTACATTGTTTCATTTTTTGTGTTACAATTATGTCTAGATTGACCTCTTTACTTGAGAACGTTATGACATTTAAGGACGTACCTATCCTGTCATTGATGGTTCTGATGCTTTGGCCTTTGGTCCTTTTCCATACTTAGCATATAATGATATTTTTTTCTCTAAATCCTGCAGGTTATTTCTGAAATTATTGAAACATGCCGTTCACATGAATTTACGGATGTTGTGTTGGTTCATGAACATCGTGGTGTACCAGATGGTTTGATTATAAGCCACCTACCTTTTGGTCCAACAGCTTATTTTCAACTACTCAATGTGGTAAGTAGTGTGATAATTTTGTGTTAATGTTGGACAAATATCTTGGTATTAAGACTGACGTAGGACAGGAATCCAGACAACATAAATTCCTTAGGGCCGTCAGCAGCAAAAATTAGGAAAAGTGAGGCCGAGATACAATTTTAAAAAATGAAAGAGAGGGATCATGATCTAAAGGTATGAATAGGGCTACAAGGAATTTCGTTTCATTGCTTAACAGTTCTTGTGGGAGAGATGGCCTTGGGTTTTCAAATTTGTGATTTTCAATGGTTGATTGTACTTAAACGGAGTCTGGTTAATGCTAGAAGTGATTGTCAGGTGCAAAAAAATAAAGAGAAGTTGAAGAAGATCAATCTCGCCCTCGCATTGGTGATGTAACTCTGTTGCCTAAACCTAGCAAGAAAGCCTCATAGCTTCTAAAAGTATTGACTGGAATATTTCTTTTTATAAAGAGAGTTAAATGGATGAATATTGGTAGACTTGGATCCAGAGTTCAAAGTCAAGCATAATAGGCAAGTCAATAGCTTGAGATCACCCACGAATGATCCATGGACCACTATTACAATCCTTCTCCAGGCAACTTGAGTGACTCTAATTCCGTTAAAAAACAATAGTAAAAATCAAAGCAGCAGCTTCTAAGTGAAAAGAACCATAAAATGAAGGTTTATTACTGACAATTGCAGATTGCCAATCTTGGTGAACATTGGTATTAACCAATACATGTTTTTACAGTTTGCTTTTTTGATTTTGTCATGCTTTATTGGATCTGTGCTTTGACTTATTTATTTTGAGCACTGTTCTAATAGTATTTTTGTTGTAGGTCACAAGACATGACATCAAAGACAAGAAAGCCATGGGAACGATGCCTCAGGTTTATCCACACCTGATACTTGACAATTTCACGACCAAGGTATCATGTTTCGATTAAAGATTCCAGCATCTTGATTGCTTATTTTACTCTGTACATTATGCCAAGGTAGATCAGACCCCATTGATCCAATTAGAGATAGTTTATAATGGTTCAGAGATGAGGATGATTGATTATAGTTATTCTCCAAAGGTTTTTTGCCAGTTATTTATGACATACCCACTGACTATGAAAATCATGCGAGGAATTTCAATGTTGCTGTTCTGTCTCTATATATTGAGTTATTGATAACCTACCTTGGTGATGTAATTAGATGAGGCCATCTTTCATCTCTCTCTCTCTCTCTCTGTAGTGCCCTTCCTGATTACTATTCTTACTAATTCTTATCCATCCAATCCTGCTATGTCTTAATCATATGTACACTTACATCACTGCATCAGTGCATTCATTGGTTTTTTTTTGAGTTGGCCTTCGTAGTTACTAACTTTGACTGTTCCATTGAATATGATTTTCTTTTCTTGATTGTTCGTAGTTGGGTGAGAGGGCAGCAAATATTTTAAAGCATCTATTTCCAGTGCCAAAGCCGGATACGAAACGCATAATCACTTTCGCCAATCGGTCTGACTACATTTCATTCAGGTTGGTTTGTTGTCACATCTCTATAAGGATGGTTGTTGATATATCATATATCTAAATGATTTTCACATTTCCCATAAATTCTACTATTTGCACATGTTGGTGAATGTAGATAGGGCTTTCTTGAATGATACCGACTCAGGCTACTTTTATTTGGTCATTAGATATTAATAACTGCTTTTTCCTCCTTTTTTTTTTTTTTTTTTGTTTTTGTGCATTTTCGTTTCTTTTCTCCTTTTTCTGTTGTCTTTAACCATTGCTTTGGAGCAATTGTACATTGTATTCATTATATTTCCCCTTTTTTTTTTTTTTTTCGTCTTTAACCACTGCTTTGTGTTTCCATTTCCGTTAACAATTTGAGAACGTACAGGCACCATACTTATGAGAAGCCTGGAGGTCCTAAATCCATTGAGCTGAAGGAGATTGGTCCTCGGTTTGAATTGAGGCTTTTTAAAGTTAGTACTCATTACCTCATCTTCATTGTTGAGAAATTTGTGCTTCTTGCAAGGATATAGCACGTGTTTCATTTTGCACTCACATGCAGACATGCTGGTGTTGTTTATGTCGTTTGGCACTAATATTTTTTTATTTTGTTTTTTTTTTTCCTTCTGTTTAATATTTTTTAAATTTAATTGAGCATTTGCTCAAAATTTTCTTGCTGCCTGCTGAATTTTTGACCCGAATATTTTTTAATTTTTTCCCTTCTGTTTAATACAAAGAAAGCTACATCACATACACACAAGCGCATACACATACCGAGGCACACTGATGTTTTTGTTTACCTATCAAATCCAATACCTCCTTTCTAAGTCGTGCAGGTGGTAATCAAATCACCTGATTTATCAATCATGTTCATGCCATGCTTATTCCTAGTAGACTGTTTAATGTTTCATAGCATTACTTGAGCGCGTTTACACTCGTTTTTTTTTTTTTTTTTTTTTTTTTTCCCACTTTGATATTGCAGATAAGGTTAGGAACAATGGATCAGGACGAAGCCCAGAATGAATGGGTCATCAGACCATACATGAACACGGCCAAGAAACAGAAGTATATGGGGGATTGATAATCTTTAGAGCTTTTCGTTGACAATTTTGTGTAACTGGGCTACATCCACTGTGTTGCTCAGAATATATTGATTTCAAAGGTTACAAATAGCACTCGGTTAAAGACTAGAATTCCCTCTCCCTTCAGTCGTCCGACCCCCTTACAAGAGGTTCCCACCCCTTTATATAGGCCCTCTGTGAACTCAGAGAGCATTGAGCTCACCTACTTTTACTTTTCTGGTGTTTAATGGGCACCTACGTAGACTAGCATGCTGACAACCTTTGTAACCATGAGCGGATATTCAGCGATGAAGTGACATTTTGCGCAGTCAGGATTGCACATTCTTGTAGACCAATGTGTGTTGAGTGACCTGCTCGGCCTTCATTAATCAACAATGTCTTCCTGAGTAGGCCTACTCCTAAAGCCTTGTGCCGTAAAGTTTTCAATCTTCCCACGTGTCCTTGATAGTCAAAAAGTACTTTATGTTGTTTAGTCGAACCAGGATGGTGAGCGCTTGACTATTACACTTGCCAAGCCTCCTTTTAATTAGGGCTGGAATAAAATACCGAAAATTCCAAATCAAACCAAAAAAATCTCATACCGAAAATCCCGAAAATTTCGGTACCTAATATATAATCGATCCTGAAAATTCGGTACGAGAATTGATCTCACTTTTCATTTCGTTTTGTAATCCCAAACCAAAATAAAATATATATATATGATTTAATTTTAAATATATATTTGGAATTGTAACAGTCGTCTGATTTGGTTGAGATTTAATCTCAACCGTTGAATCCAAATAAAACCTTCACTGTCACTCTCTCGGACTCTCTACATCTCTTGACCTCACTCCTCAGCGTCCTCTCCCTCACTCAGGCACTCTCGCTCGACCTCACCTCACCCTCACTCAGTCACTCTCTCTCGACCTCACCTCTCACCTCACCCTCCTTGCCGATTTCTCTCCTCCTCCCACATCAGACAAGTGACTCACCCCTCACCTCACTGTGCACTGATTCTCCACAAATCAAGTAAATTTTAGAATTAATTTAGGATTCAAATTCTAGATTAGGGTTTGTGAAATTTGTTCATGTTTTGGATTTGATGTTCATGACTTTTCTCTGCTAATTTATCTTGAATGCTTTAATAGGTTTTCTTTAATCACGAGATTTATAGCATCGACTGCACCACCCGTTGTAATTTGCAGGCCTACCTGGTTTCATTTCTCTGGTTGTTGGATAATTGGATTTGCAAGGTAAAGTTTTCTGAGTTCTTACTTTGTTGCTCCAAAAGGGTCTTAGAAAGTCTAATTCTTTGAAACATTTATGTGGGCTTTGTTCAGTTGGTTGTAAATCTCTCATGGATAACATCTAAATTTTCATTTTTTAATCCAAGGGTTTTGCAGCTCCACATTTTGATGTGATTTCTGCTCTACTTTGTTTATTTTTCATGAAATTTTTGTTAACTATTAGAGCCCAAGTAGTCGATTTTACCCAAAAATGTGATAGGACTCGTGCAGACCATACACATATCATGATCACCGCCTATGCCATAAAATGTGATAGGACTCGTGCAAACCATACACATATCATGATCACCACCTATGCAATGGTCATGATTCAACATCATAACCACATGAAATAAAAAGAAATGAAATTATAGATCCCCACAACTCAGAATTAAACTCGCTCAAATTGAAGAGTAAAGATGGAACAGGAGCCCCAAATTTTTCATAATAATTTTAGTCGAGAAATCAAACAAAAATTGAATGTTTTCAAGAATCCATACAAACACATAAACATTTCAAGAAATCATACAAAAACTGAAATTCAGTCAAGAAAAAAATACATGAGTGATCAAAGAGATTGCTTCCAGAACGCCTTTGCCTTTTGGTTCCACCTTCCACCACCTCCCTTTTCCTCTTCACAAAAATAGTCACAAATAATGTGCTTATGTCAGTAGTTCTTCTGAGGACGCAAGGATGTCGCGGGCAAAAGAGGCGTCGACGGCGACGAAGGACAATCCACCTAGAATGAAGTCGTGGGCAACTGAGGCGTTGGCGGCGACAAAGGATAATTGAGAAGAGGTAAAAATGGAATATTGAGTGGTGAAGCAGAAAGTAAAAAAGGATTATGGGATTTGTAAAAAAATTTGAAAAATTAGTTTTATTCATTCAGCTACAGCTAAGCATCGGCCAGTTTTTTTTTTTTTTTAAATTTTATTATTACAAATCCCAAAATCCCTTTTTTCTTTCTGCTTCACCACTCAGTATCCCATTTTTCTCCCATTTTTACCTCTTCTAAATTGTCCTCCGTCACCTTCAACGCTTCCGTCGCCCACAACTTCATTCTGGGTGTATTTTCCTCCGTCGCTGTCGACACCTCTGTCGCCCGTGACACCCTTGCGTCATCGGAAGAACTGCTGACAAAAGCACATTATTTATGACTATTTCTGTGAACAGGAAAAGAGAGGTGGTGGAAAGTGGAACCAAAAAGCAAAGGTCTTCTGGAAGCAATCTCTTCGATCAGGTATTTTTTTTCTTGACTGAATTTTAGTTTTTGCGTGATTTCTTGAAATGTTTATGTGTTTGTATGAATTCTTGAAAACATTCAAGTTTTGTTTGATTTCTCGACTAAATTTTCAATTTGTGTACATTGTTTTTTGGGAATCTTGATAATTTCTGTATATGATTTGATATTACGCATTGCTTATACTTGATATTACTAGGTTTTTTTTCACAACGCATATAAGGAACCAGCTTTCATGCCACGTCCTACCCAACATTGAGTACAAATTACTTGTCTTTTATTGTTGACTGGAGAAAGAACATGCATTCGAATTTGTAGCTTTCAGAACTCTATCGGACAACTCTACCATTTTACTGTCGTCCCTGTAAAAAAGAAAAACAAATATCTAATTTTTGATAACAAAATTGTTAACATTATTGTGTAGAGGAAAATGAAATACAATATATCATATATAGTAAACTTTTCATTACAAGTAGTAAAATACATGCACTTCCTGGTTGATGCAGTTTAAATCAGTTCCACTTCCTTTACAAAACAATACACACAAACCATAAGGGAAAAATACTTGGTGTGAATAAGTGTTTGAAAGTTCTGACCCTTAATAGGAGAAACACTTCCACATGTAAGGGATCTTAATTATTTCCGCAGCCTAATTTTTCTGGGACTGTAAGTTATCTTTGGTATCCAAGCAGGAGGCTATTGTATAACATTATTGTGTTTATGGTGTGGGTAGGGAGGGTTAGATTTAGATTATATTAATTTAAATAAATGATTTGTTTTTATGTTTGTAGATAATCGGCTTGGAGGTTTAGAAATTTGCACAGTAGGCAAAATTCCTGTATACTATGACCAGGTATGCTATTTACTTCCTGGAAACCTGTCTTATACATTAATAATGATTTCTAGATGGCTAAAATTTGCTTTACTTTTTTTAGGTTTTTCCCATACCCATTGGCCGCCCTGTACAGTTAAGAGACAATCTATGGAGGGGTATTATGGGATCTTACTCGCGACGTACCATACTGTAAACATTGACGCAAACTCCAACATGTGGTGCAATGTAGGCTCAACTAGGGCTGATTCGGTATGAGATACTGAACCGAAACCCTTGTCCCGATTCCCAAACCGAAGCTTTTGGGAATTCCAATTTTAAGACCGATCTCAAACCAAATTTCAGGAATACAAAAATAGTTTCGGGATTTTGGAACAAATCGGGAATCTTGAAATAATTTTGGGCTATTGGTAATCCCAAAACTACAACTAATTCAAACCGGTTTCAAATCAAAATCCCTATTTGTAATTGGTAAGTGTTAACCAAATGAAAAAAAACCTTAGAAAACAAAACCCATATTACCAAATATGAACCCAAATGATAGATGTAATTTGAATAAAAAGAAAAAGAGTTCTAAATTTATGTTTTCCTAGAAGTTAAACTCAAATCCTTTAACTAAGAGTTAGTTTATAAGTCTCACACACACCCTGTATAATAATATATCTAAACATATATCGAGAGAGGGAGAGAGAGCAAACCTAAAACCACCAAAGTAGAATTCCAAAGACTTGAGTGTGATAGATTGGCACCAATGTTTTAAAAGGCTCGCCTCAGGGAGCGTCTAGTCACCCTGTGAGGCTGGTCTTGAGGGTTGCCACCTCTGTTTTAAGGGAGTGGGTGAAAGGCGCCGGAAGATGTTGCCGGAGCCGCCTCAGGGGAATTTTTTTTATTTTATATATATACTCTCAAACCCAAATTTTGGGTAGGGTTTCAACTACCTCATACATCTTCCTTGCTCTATCATCTCTCTGCCTTGTTTTCTGATTTTTATTTTTTATATAAAGGATGTGTGTACCGTCTGCGTGCATTGTTACACGTGTGCTCATTGTGCTTTTCATCCTCTATTTTATATATATAATATATGTATACATACATGTGTGTATATGTATTTATAATATATGTGTGTGCTCAGGGTGATTATTGATTAATAATCTTCTTTTTTTTAATATAATATGTATATGCTCAGTGTATATATTAAAAAATTTAGGTCCCATGAGGCTTCGCCTCATGCCTAGGTTGGGTTATCCCTCAGACGCCTCGCCCACGCCTCACGCTTTTAATACATTGCTTGGCACTGATAAAAGATACATTGCTTCGCAACTAAAGCTTTCGGAGATCAGTGAACAACTTGCAAGGATGAAACCTTCTAGGAGAGGTCCTGCAAATACAAATACTAAAATCTTAGAAACGAGATAATGCAAAACCAGAAGAAGCAACAAAAATTATTTTCATAAATTTGGGGTTCCTATTCCATCTTTACACCTCAATTTGTGCGAATTTAATTCTGAGTTGTGGGGATCTATAATTTCATTTCTTTTTAATTTTCATGTGGTTATGATGTTGAATCATGACCGTTGCATGGGTGGTGATCATGATATGTGTATGGTCTGCACGAACCCTATCACATTTTTGGGTAAAATCGACTACTTGGGGTCGAATAGTTACAAAATTTTCATGAAAAATAAACAAAGTAGAGCAGAAAGCACATCAAAATGTGGAGCTGCAAAACCCTTGGATTAAAAAAATGAAAATTTAGATGTTATCCAATAGAGATTTATAACCCACCAACTGAACAAAACCCACATAAATATTTCAAAGAATTAGACTTTCTAAGCCCTTTTGGAGCAACAAAGTAAAAACCCAGAAAACTTTACCTTGCAAATCCAATTACCCAACAACCAGAGAAATGAAACCAGGTAGGCCTGCAAATTACAACGGGTAATGGAGTGGTGCAGTCGGTGCTATAAATCTCAGGATTGAAGAAAACCTATTAAAGCATTCAAGATAAATTGGCAGAGAAAAGTCATGAACATCAAATCCAAAACATGAACAAATTTCACAAACCCTAATCTAGAATGCGAACCCTAAATTAAATTTCAAACCCTAAATTAATTCCAAATTTTACTTGATTTGGGGGAGAATCGGTGCACAGTGAGGTGAGGAATGAGAAGGAAGGCTCCACAGTGAGGGTGAGTCACTTGTCTGATGTGGGAGGAGGAGGAGAGATAAAGAGAAATCGGCGAGGAGGGTGAGGTGAGAGGTGAGATCGAGAGAGAGAGAGAGTGAATGAGTGAGGGTGAGGTCGAGAGAGAGTGCCTGAGTGAGGGTGAGGATGGTGAGGAGTGAGGTCAAGGAGAGGTTAAGGAGACACGTAGGGAGAGTCTGAGAGAGTGACTGAGTGACAGTGAGGCTTTTATTTGGATTCAACGGTAAATCTCATCCAAATCAGGCGACTGTTACAATTTCAAATATATATTTAAAATTAAATAATATATATATTTTTATTTCGGTTCGGTTCGGGATTACCGAACTAAATGAAAAGTGAGACCGATTCCCGTACCGAATTTTCAGGATTTTCAATTTAGGATTTTTTTTAGTTTGGTTTCGGAATTTTTTTAGTTCGGTTTGGGATTTTCAATATTTTTTTCCAGCCCTACTTTTAATTCTATTAGGCCTTGGGCATCGCATTCTTCTTTAGACTTTGACTTTTACTAGGCTTTTTGTGGCCTTTTTTAGGCCTACACAATTTTTGGGGTCGATTAACACCCTTTCCCTTAAAATAAAATAGAAGAAAAATTAATGAAAATTAAAAAAAAAACTTTTAATTTTAATGAAAAATGACAAATAAAGGTGTAATGAATAGTACCAGTGGAAGGTAAAAATATGGTTTTTTGTTAAAAGTGAACAATACCGGAAGTGTTTCGTTAAAACTCTCTAAAATATAGGGGTGTGCTATTCACACATCTCTTTTTACTTCTCACACACTCCTTGTTAATTTCTGTCCGTTGATCTTCTTTAATTTATCTGATCCAATAGCTAAAAACTAAAAAAGTGTGAGAGAAGTAAAAAAGGGTGTGTGAATATCATATCTCAAAATATATTGTTCCAATTTTTATAGAACGTCGTTATCATTAAATAAAATAAAAAATTGGATTATGGGGCCCTTATAAAATTTGGGCTGGGTAAAAGAGTTGGGACTTGGCCAATACTCTAGGCCTTTTAAAGCCCCCCCTTAAACCTTTCGTGTTCTCTCGCTCGTTACCTGTAAACCCTAAACCCTTGCATCTGCTGCTAGGGCCTGAATCCTCCGCATCATCCTCACCGTTTCTCCACCGTTGCGACCGCCACGTTCCTCACCTCTCACTGGTTCGTCTCTCCTCGTCTTCCACCTCCCTCTTCTTAGATGAGATTCTAGGTCGCCGCCCTCCGCCCTCCGCCCAACCATTTGCGGTTCGGGATAGAAGCAGATCTCGCAGCTCCGCCTTTTTATTTGCTCAAACTTAAGCAATGGCTGAATTGCTTCAAGTTTATATTGCTTTTTCTTTTTTCTTCCATGAATTTGATTTTGAATGGACTATTGTGATGCTTGACATTTTTCGTTCCCGAATCTACATTTTTGTTTTGCTTTGTTTTTATTTGTTTTTGGTATTTTTTCAATTCTTTATGTTTTCACAGCGAGAGTGAATATGAATTTCAACAACGTTAAGGTTCCGAAAGTTCCCGGTGGTGGTGCAGTTTCTGCTTTGCTTAAGGTTGGCATAATTGGTGGGCTTGGCTTGTATGGAGCTGCCAACAGTCTGTACAATGTCGAGGGAGGGCATCGAGCCATTGTGTTCAACCGGATAATCGGTGTCAAGGACAAGGTTATGGTCTAATCTCTACTATTGCATTTTATCTGTATTTCAAGGTTATACTTCAGTTGATTTTATGAACGAAGTTGCATTTTCAAATGTAGTATTACTGTGGCTTAATTTGAAAGGCAAGCCCCAAAAGCTCTTGGCTTTAATAACTATATGTATACAGGGTTATATGCTATCTATTGAGATGGTTCCAATACATATTAGCGATCCTATGTGAAGAGAAACTTCCGAGGATGATTGTATCCTTTGTTAAGACAATTTATCCTAAATGAGGTTGGCCCCTCCAGTTATAAAACTAATGGGGTTAACCCGAGTCATATGCTTAATTTGTTCAAGTTAAGGACGAGTCTAACAACCTGTAGACTTACTTTGTGCGTGTGAAACTTCTTTCAGGTCTATCCAGAGGGTACACACCTTATCATTCCATGGTTTGAGAGGCCAGTCATTTATGATGTCCGTGCACGACCTCATCTAGTGGAGAGCACTTCTGGGAGCCGTGATCTCCAAATGGTTGATATCTTTTTCCTTCCTTACTGTTAAACGATTTCGACAACTTCATGGCTTGTAATATTGCTCAACTTCATGGTTTGTAATTTTGACAATAGATAAATCTCTATTCTCTTTTATGTATGTGATGTATGCCTAGTGTTAGCATTTAAACCTGTATCCTCTATGTTCAAAACATGTCTTTTCATCAGGAAACACTTTTCAACAAATTTTAATTAAAGAGACAATTTAGTTATTTCGGTTAATGTTGTCTGCAGTCCTTGTCCTCAATGTTAAATTTTGTTTTCTTATTGTGCTGTACAGGTGAAAATTGGGCTTCGAGTACTTACTCGACCTCTACCAGACCAACTGCCTACAGTTTATAGGACTCTTGGTGAGAATTACAATGAGAGAGTCCTTCCTTCCATTGTTCATGAAACTTTGAAAGCTGTTGTTGCACAGTATAATGCTAGTCAGCTCATTACTCAGAGAGAGGTAGGGAGAAACGCTCTTGCTATACATATATTCATTTTCCTTTCTAGTCACTTTGAAGTTTCCCCCCCTTTTTGTCATACCTTGTCTACGTGTATAGTTATTTAGATGAAGAGGTAGAAGTTCAAATGTTTCCTTAGTGTTGATTATCCTTTTTGTGTTTAGACTGTTAGTAGGGAAATACGGAAGATTTTGACTGAAAGGGCTGCCAATTTCAACATTGCGCTGGATGATGTCTCAATTACCACTCTCACTTTTGGGAAGGAGTTCACGGCTGCAATTGAGGCCAAACAAGTGGCTGCACAGGAAGCCGAGAGAGCTAAGTTTGTTGTGGACAAGGCTGAACAAGACAAGAAGAGTGCTATCATCAGAGCAGAGGTTAGTATAACACATTCTCAAAATATATAATATCTACTGATCTTGTTTTAATTGCAATTTTACTAGCCATTAAACCAAAATTGGTTTTTAAGCGTATAGCTCGCCGAAAGTTTTGGGAAAGCCGTGTGCATGAACAACTACTTTATAGATCCTAATTCGAGATGTATCCTTATTTTTCATTATTATTATGCTCGTCTTTGAATTAGCATCAGTGGTTTTATTTCTTAATCCTGTGATTATCTTTAGAAACAAATCAGACAACTGTGTATCTAGAATAAAACAACATTTAACCAGTTACGTCCAAGTACTCCGTTTACAGAATAAGATGGACATAAAATCACGATATTCCTGTAGGGATGGATGTGGGTATTCCTTTAAACTTTTATTTTGCTTAAATCAATTATCTCTGTTGGTCAGGGAGAGGCGACTAGTGCCAAGCTGATTGGTGAAGCTATTGCAAACAATCCGGCATTTATAACACTGAGGAAGATTGAGGCTGCAAGAGAGATTGCACATACAATCTCAAATTCCGCAAACAAAGTTTTCTTGAACTCAGACGATCTGTTGTTGAACCTTCAGGAGATGAATTTGGATATCAACAAGAAGTAGACACTGCAGGTTGGACTTGTAATAATTTTGTTTCAGATTTGTCAAATTGTGAAAATATTTCGTTGAAGAGTTGATCAATGGGACCTTAGAGTGCACTTGAGTCTTTTGATGCACCGCTAGTTGGCATGGCAATTGCTGTTCGTGAAGAGCAAATTCTCAACACTCAAATGGAACTTTTCTGATGCGGTTACTTCTATGTGTTTCACATGTTATAATATCAGATGTCCATATTGCCCTGCCCTCTATATTTTGCGTCGTTTTATGTTTGATAGTTTATAAATCTCACTCATAGGCATGGCATTCTTGAGCCTTGAAGGTGATGATTTTACCGGAAGAAAATTTACCACCATATCTTGGCCAGAAGTATGCAGGCCGAATAGGCAACAGAGTTTGCTTCCTGTTTGTGCTACTGGCCGCGAATGATTTTATGAAATTGCGGTTTTTCTAGCGTAAGTTAACTAAAGAATGCATGTTTTGCAAACGGTTGATCAGTCATTACAAAGACAAATGTGGCAGTACAGTCATTGTTGCGATGAATTTGCTGAGACATTAACAAAAGAAACAAAAAAAATTCAAATCCTATATGTTAACAAGGAAATCACTGTCTCTAATGATCAAAACTGTGAATGTAGCTGCACAAACCGTGGGAATTAGACAGTCGCCGTCACCTCTGTGTATCCTATATTGATCAGACACACATTCACGATCACTCATCCACAAGCAACTGATCGCATCCGAGTTGCTCCTGTGGCGATTCAACCGTTCCCAACCACCGTTCAAATCGAGAATCAATGAAGCTTCAACAGGTAACGAAAAATCCTCAGTTTCTCCAAGATACTTTTCATTGCTTAAAAGAAATTCTTCTTCGCTGCCAAAGCTTATCGGGTAAGTAGAAACATCATTCATCGGCATTGCAACATTACCGTCAATGCTGCTTATGCACTCATCATCATGATTCATGTTGCATTCAATTTCATCAAAAGGCAACACAGAAGGAGTACTGCTTTGATCAATGGAATTAGTGATCACATCCACACTGGAAGTTTGTGATCCCAGTTCTTTTCTTGCTCTCTTCTTGATGGGCGGCTTCTCATTCGATTGTTCATATCTTTCTGTCTTTTTAACCAGCGGCCTCTCATTCAATAGATATTTTCCACATGGTGTCGTATGATCGGCACCAAACGCTACAGTAAAAGTGTATATGTGACATGTAAGTGGTTCTCATATTCTGCGTAGTTATAATCTAACGGTGTTGCATACCACCTAGCTAGGCTTGGTCTCACAGTGAGTTCCCCCTTTACTTTGGTTTGAGTACCTTATGTCATTCAAGACATTCGTCTCCAAAACCAATAAAATCTTGTTTCTTAGTAGACAAGTTAAATTTATCACTTAAATTTTTTGTTTCATTTATGTATGTCAGCACCTCAATATGTCAAAAAAAAATAAACAGAATTTGTGGAGACATCATCAGCTTCATCAGGAGGATCGCAGCCTCGCACAAATAGTTGCTTTATCTTTGATAAGAAGAGGAGAAGCTCCGCGCACAGCTCTGAAAGCTGCGCTCTCGCAGCTTCCACCTTGTACGGTTTTAGAGGAAGGAAACAGTCCGTTGTTGGTTCTTCCATACACCTGATCCAATATACGCGCTTTTAAATCTGATTCCTGCAAGCAACATTAGTATTGAGTTCAACTTGATAATCAGTAGTTATTCTACTCAACTCTTGTAAGGAATGAAGATAGCGACTCAAAGAATAAAGTGTTTCTCGGAAGAATTAGGCGAGAGTAGCAGTATGTTCAAATTCCTTTCTTTTACGAGTACAAACTAAAACATACAAGGGTTAATCAAGTTAATTAAACAGAAACGACATGAAACCCTTTACGTATCCCTGCTATGGCAAGCCCTGATGCCACAGGCTTAAGATAGTAGCTAGAAGACCAACCCAACAATGCATACTAATCACAAGTAAATAACTACTTAACTCAACGCATGCTAACTTTTCCCCTCAGTAGGAGCCATTAGGAATTGAATACAAGAATCGACAGACAACTAAGTTCTAATAAGCGACTGATTTGATGTAGTTCAAGAAGCAATGCCTCAGTCAAAAACTTATATGCTACTCCGTTCCCCCTACTAAATATTGAAGGTATCGTCAATGAAAGCTTTATTGGCACGAGTCAAAATTAAATGATTCAAAGATATGCAAGAGAAATAGGCATTCATTAAGAATTAATGAGCCCCTTATATGGACACGAAAAACTTCATTCCATCTAACTAGACTCACAATCATGAGCACCGAGGCAAGAAGCCTCATTAGAGTAAGTTCCAATCATGTCCTCCTAACAAAATTATATGCATCAAGGCAAGCAGACTCATTAGACGGTATGCATAAAATTGAGTATAATGTAAACAGAAGCTATAGAAGACTATACTAGTATATTGTATATTTCCAAGTTGAACCTTTGTGGCCTAAACTCCAGTTTAAGAATTTATTACTTGTAAGCATTACAATATGTACAATCTGAACTTTTGTGGCCTAAATCCGCGTATATCAAAACGTAAACACAACAAATAAGGCAAACAAAAAACCAATCAAAAGACTATGGCAGCAGGGTACTCCTATTCCAATTTAAGCCCCTTGTTACATTCTAATAAAAGGTTAGTTACTTACCTAAATTCATGCAGTGGAGTATCTCCTGATCCTCCTCTCTGATCAGCTGCTTTCATTTCCACTTCTCAACTTCAAAACAGGGTAAAAGTCTCAACAAAGATAACTGGATAATGATGTGTAAGAGAATTTATTGAAGATAATAAGCTTTCATGAAAAAATATTAAGCACATTCAACTAACACATTTAATTGTTGGTGAAACTGAAAACACATTTAAAATCTATTTACTGGAAAGGAATAGTATAATCGCTCAAAGATAACTTAGAAAAGAACATGTAGAGACGGTGCCACAAGAAGTATGAGGATTCCCTGCTTGCTTGTACTCAACTACATTGTCATAATCTGACTAAAATAATAGGTAAGAACAGAAAACATTAAGAACCAAAAAAGTACAGTGAACAAGCTTTATCAGCAGCAACATATACAAGTCCAGTACCACAAACTACTTTGCTGGGTGGATTAAACATAAACACCAATACTGGTACAGTGTTGTTATTACAGATGAATACGAGCATCTAAGCGTGAAACAAAAACCAAATAGTGTATGCTATGTGCAACTCCAGTACCGGCAGCGGAAGTAAAATAACTTTGATGAAATTTCCTAACATTTGTGTAGTTAAGAAAAAGTTAGGACCTTCAATGGCTAAAAAAATAAGGAACGCCATTGCTTCGCAGCATTATCAGTCACCCAGAAAGAATTGTTGGGTGTGCATCCCAAAAGGTTGGCTCAATAATATTACAATGTTCTACAATAACTCTTTTCCCAGAATTCCCATTACATTCTTCGTTCTCGTGTATCCTTGTGGTGTCTTCCTGCATACAAATAATATACAAGGTTTAAAATAAAAAACCGCATACCACAGGAAAATCATAGAGAGGACTAGCATGTAATAAACCATAAGGATAGGCTAGCCCTTGATATCTTCAGTGGGTCTCGACTTTCATATGTGTGCGTGGGTGTGTTTCCTAGTGGCCAAAGAAAAATTGTCCTACATTATTGGCGAGAGTTGGTACATTATCTACTCAAGGCTCCAGACCTCTTAAAGCTAGGCCACCATTCCTTAAAAAACATCATATGTGGGTTTTCCTTTCATAAATGTGTGATCCTAAACAGGAAAAAGGGAATAAAATAAATAAATAAACAAAGAGATGCAATTTTCTCTTTTTTGCCAATAAGAGATCCACTATGCCCAAACCACGTTAGTTGGGATACAGCACTAAGAAATATTCACGTCCAAGTAGGAAAGAAAGATAACCTTGTCCCAGAAGGCACAAGATCCATGGCGGAACATGACTGGTAATTTGTTGTACTCGATACCAAATTGGTTAAGCAATTTCTCTTTGTCTCCTGTTTGAGTACCCTGGCAATTAAAATTTGAAAAACATTATGAGAGGGAAATGACAAGAATACTATAAAATGGATTTTGGATTAACCACATCATACATGTAATTGAATGAGCAAGCGCACTCATATAATGTGACAGCCAAAAATTTGGTTTTTTTCTATTTTTCAACTTTTGGAGAAGGAGATGCTAAATAAATTGGACAACAACAGAGATTGCATGTAAAAGAATAATAATAAATAACAATAAAAGGAAAGCAGAATAAAAGATTTAATGAATAGAAATGCTAAAAAGTTAAAATTTAATAAAAGTGGAGGATAGATCATTATTAAGGAAAAATGTGTCCCAAATATACCTTCAGGACGAGCTGAGCTTCACTTTTTCTTTTTCCAGACTTAACAAGCTCCCAGAAACAAGTATTGTATTGGTTGTTAATGTGGCCTGAAACCCATAAGAAATGTAAGTCCAGTAAATTTACCACCTTATCCAGCTGAAATTCATATTTTAATGCAACCTTAACAAATTTGAACCTATTATCCTTTGGAAAATTTAGAGCTGAATACTCACAATCGACTTGTCTCCAGGATAGATAATCTCGAAGAATTTCATATGAAGGATAGCAGACAGCACGCCCATCAAAATACGGAGGGTACTTCAACTCTTTTTGTGGGAAGAAATCTTTCCATTTCATCACGTACATGGAAGTGAAGAATGACACAATAACAGATACCATCTCACTGCAGAATTTTGGTAATTCCAATATAGGTAAGAAAGATCAATCTGATTTGTAGGGAAGAGAAGTGATTCAAGGATAACATTATGAAGAACCCTGGCAGAGATGTAAAGTACCGTAAACCAGTGAAAACAGTATTTTAGAATCCAAGCATAACTATACTCCATATAGAGTGTCCAGTTAGCATACAAAATTTAGGAAAGTAAGAAAGGTGACAGAAGCAAAACCTTGCTTGCCGCTGATAGAATTGAGAATCCTTCTTCAAAACAAAGCTGTAATAACAGACAATGTGATTACAGATGATATAGACCACAAAGTTCAGATACCAAACATATTCTATACCTGTATTCGTCACTGACTCCATATGAGAAAACCAAGTCCTGGAACTCTTTTAGAACAGCCACTGCACATGAATTCATAAGGTTGATAGCTTGCTCATCATTCGGCTTCACAAATTCATGAACTTCAGAAAACCTTCCAAACCCAAACAACTGAGAATCATTTCTTGAATCTTTGGAGGATAATTAACAATAAAAATCACATGCATCCATAAAGAAAACTTGATTATTCTGAGTTGTAGGTTAATTGCGGAATGGCAGAAAAGTTGCATCCTTAGTTTGTTAAAGCCGAGACTACCATTGTTGTTCTTTGTAGTTAATGTGATAGATGACAAACATGTTTAAAAGAGATGTCTGATTTGCACAACAGGTGAAATAACAAGGACCTAATACTTCAGTTGCACCCACTTGATAATAAAACATGGGAATTCCTCATAATAGAGTGATCTAATCTAAGTCAATTTTTGTAACCTGTTAAAATTTTATGATTGGAACCATTTGTAAGGATGTCCCACAAGGTGACCCTACCACCCCTAATAATTAGCAGCCCAAGAGAAGACAGTCACAGTAACAATGACCATAATTAAGTTAACCTTGTCACGTGAGGAACAGTTTACCTGTGAAAATGGCAACCATCGATCCTAATTACAACCCATGTTGATGGGATCAGTTTGTCTTCATGCTGGAAGGACCTAATATAATCAGGTTCAACTTTTCCAATATCCTTTGTAAAACAACCAAGTTCCTTCTGAAGATGTGTGTGCTTGTTCCAAAACCTTCTCTCAGCTATATTCTTCGAATGGACTATGCTTGACTTTCTCCTAAGTCTCTTGACAGGAGAACCATTTTCATTGTGCTTCACAACTTCAAACACCTGAATAATGTACGATGGAGATCTCAGCATAAGAAGTCAGAAGGCACCTATGTTGATACACAAACTAGAACGTATCTGAAATAAAAAATATAAATAAAATGAAATGCACTCCAATTACATAGTGGTCAGGATTTGGCAAACCAAATATATTTTTCTTAACAGAAAATTAAAAAAGCACAGTATTTGTACCAATAAAGACACCCAAATTCTTTTCAAATAGACAAGTTAAGATCCAAGGTTCTTGGACTTTGGAGCAAGTTTGTTATTTCTATACTAAGAAATTTCCAATACAAGATCATATACATGATTTTGTTTCCTAGAGGTCGAAAATCTTGTCCCCATAAACTTCAATTTGGTTATTATGTGCTACATCAAAAAGATATCCTACTGTTCTACAGCATGAATCCAGTATCATTTGATACACCAAAACTTAATCAAATGACCCTGAAAATCAAAACTAAAAATAGTTTTTGAAACTCATAAGATACTAATTCAAATTCCTAAGGATTTGCTCATAATAAACTAAACGAAATTGATTTTTTTTTTTTTTTTGGTGTTACTTTGGCAGAGAAGTTTAGTTTGAATCTAAATTTAAAAAAAAAAAATGAAAAAAGTCAAGTGCTCAAGTGTCACATGAGGTAAAATTCTTGTGGTATTGTTAAAATCTTCCCAAAACAAAAAAGTGAAACCTTTGCTGAGATGAGTAAGATAGACTCCACTACAGAATAAAAGATTACCTCTACTTTCAAAATGCAGGATCCTTGTCGAAACATTGAATGCAATTTTTGATAGTTGATATCACACTTTCTGTAAAGAAGGTCATTTTTTTCTTCCTTGCTGCTGTCCTGCAGAATACATAGATGCATGACAAGTGAAAAAAAAAAAAAAACTGCAAGCATAAAAAGAACATTTAGCATGCCAATTTGAACGTTAAAAATTATTTATCATAGAAGAAAAATAAATCACATTCAAAAGCAAAAGATATGTACTTCCTACCATATACCTATTCTCAAATGGTTAAACTAGAAAAATTTAGGCCATTTTGAAACATGGCAAAGAAGAGATTGATGATACAGATATTTGAGTATCTGGTAATTTAGTGATAACATAATGTTAAAATGGAAATGACAGAAAAATGAATACAATTACAAGGAACTAGAGGGACATATTTGATACTTTAAAAAGTTCGAGTGTCTTCCACAGATAATCATGCATATTAATATGCCAATTAATGCATAAAATGAAAATTAATTCTTCCCACCTTTAGTAAGTCCAGTGCTTCGCTTTCGGTCATTCCAGATTTAATTAGCTCCCATAGGCAAGTGTTATGCAGGTTATTTGTATGACCTGCAAAATGCATAATGTAAATGGAAATTTACTTGGAAAATTTTACTTGAATCAGAGACCTATATTAGTTGAAGATAAGTATAGTAACTTCCATACTTGAAACATCATTGCTAGACTACTCACAATTGTTTTGTCTCCACAAAAGATATGACTGAAGGACTTCTTCTGATGCACAGCGTATAACACGTGCATGAAATGAAGGGGGGTACATTAACTCCTTATGAGGGAAGAATTCTCTCCATTTTGTGACATATGCAGAGGTGAAGAAAGATACGATAATGGTCCCTACTTTGCTGCACATACAATTTGTACATAAATGAATGACTTAACAAAAACTGAAACTGAATACAGACCATTACCAAATTTACCAAAACGATAATCCACCAAATAAGATTGGTGTCAGTTTCTACAAGATAATAAATTTATAATTCTTTTTATATTTCATCCCCAGAATTAATAAGTCAAATCACCTATTTTCTCTCAAAAACTACCTCCCCGACTCCTACTTCTTTGAATATATAGCGTTTGCCAACATAGATTCACATCCCCAGAGAGATACATTGTACATTCTCTTTAGTATACTTTTCTTCCTATATATATTTCAACTTGATCCAAATCAAGCTCAAATATTTCAAATTCCAATAAGAGGGTGACATGGGTAGTAACAACTAATTTATACAGTTTAGAGATGGGTAAGGCATTATTCAACCCCAAGTGCTCCCGAGACTTTCAATTTGGATTTGATTTAGTATAATGTACAGAAAATGAACATGTTAGTTCCAAACCGATATTTGTTTTCTTTAACTCAAATGCCCACCCATCATTTTTACAAAAATCTTAGATGCATCAGAGGCCAAGAGAGCTGAATTAAAGTTGAGAAATAAAACCTGGCACGCCTTTGGTAGAATTTGGACGTCCTCTTGAAGACAAAGCTGCGAGCACAGCGCCAAGAAATAACAGTGTGAGGCTCTCTAACAGCTATGTTAACATAAACGAAACACAAATACAGTACTACCTGTATTCATCACAGAAGCCATATGAAAACACTACGTCTGGAAATGCCTCTGACACAGAAATTGCGCATGAATTCATCAAATTCAGAGCTACCTCATCATTTGGTTTCTCAAATTCATGAACTTCAGAAAACCTAACCAGAAAAGAAAAGGAAAAAAAGGAGAACGTCACCATCCACATCGTCTCAAGATCAGAGAGAGCGAGAGAGAAGTAGTCAACACCTTTGAAAATCACGACCATCAATCCGAACAACGATCAAATTGGGCAGGAAAACCTCGTCTTCAACTTCATACGACTTGACATACTCGTATTTACTGTTTGCCATCTCCACCACCTCTGCAACTATTTGAATGATCTCTCAGCCTCGAAATTTGAGGCCCCAATCGCAGAATCGCTTCCTCTCTTGGGTTTGTGGCGCGCGCGTAAACTGATGAAGTGCAGGGTTTTTAGGATGAAAAGACAAAAAAGCCCCTCTCCATCTCGGAGAAGGATTATCTTCCCTCTTTTTTTCCCTCCTCCTTCCCTCTCCTCCTCCTATTTGAACGATCACACTTAAACTACGTCAACATCTTATATTAATTTTTTACGGAACGAGAAAAATAAAAAAAAAGTGTGAGAGAAGGAGATGAAAAGAGAAGGGGCGCTCTCGAAATTTACAAATGGAGTACACCATATACACTCTAATAAGCAACTGATACGAACTGGGATTGTTAGCACGACTTGAAGTTGATGAGGGGTATCCCAAACACGCCGAGGATTTGAAGACCAATTGGATTATGTCATTAACTAATTTTTAGTTCATCAAACAATGTTACAGGGCATACTGGCTACTGATTGGGACATAAATAATTAATAAATTGGATTTGAAAGCCAAATATATTACACTGCATTAGAAATTGAAATGATCATTGACAATTAGGGTTCCCAGTTCCAAGACAAAGACAAACATAAAAAAGTGTTCAAATCAAGAGTTCTAATTGATGAATTTTGCAATGTCCCATTAATTTTTATGCAGCAAAGAGCTACCTAATTTCAAAACGGCACAAATAAGAAATTCCACCCAAATCTAATTGAATAAACCCTAATTTGAATTTTGCCCTCTGACGGCTTTCTTTGTTTGAATGAGTCTGAGAGAGACCATGAAGATGGTGGGGGAGGAGAGCCAAGATTGAGAGCAAGGAGAGAGAGAAGAGAGAGATGGAGTGAGCCTTACGAAAGTAAACTTCCCACTCCAATTTAACTGTCAGTTGGAAAGACGACGATGTTTACTGTATTTCGCCACCGCTAGGCTCTTAAACCAGCCCAAAACATTTTTGAATTGGGATTTACACTAGACCCATCATTTCAAAAAATTTCAACCTCTTCTGAGGGCAAATTTTTTTAAAAATCAAATTTCTGACTACGTTTGGTACAAAAATTTTAAAAAATTTTTGATCACAAATGCATATAAATTTTGCATAAAAACACGTTCGATCTAAAAAAAAAAAAAAAAACACTTGTGCTTGTAAGAGAAAGTGTTCCTTTACAATAGTAACTACAAGCAGGATTGGAATATAAAGATGAAAATGTTCAAACAACCTAGCTTTTAGTTTAGGAAAATAACTTCCCTCATAATTCATCATGGATATTTACTAGTATTTCAGGTTAATAACATTATGTCATGTATCAAAATTAAAACACAAGATAATGCAGAATTATCTTAAGTTTAGTCTAGATGAGTTAATGTAGAATAGATAGCCAAGTAGATTAAAGATGAAATGGACCGAAGAAAGGCAAAAAGATGTGTTGGGATTTTACAGATGGAGAAAGATTCACTCCCCTCTTTTGTTCCCTCCCTTTCCCTCCCCTCCTATTTGAATGATCACGGTTAAGCCACATCAACATCTTATATTAATTTTTTACAAAAAGAGAAAGACAAAATAAAGAGTGTGAGAGGAAGGGACGGAAGAGGAGGGGAAAAAATCGTAGTCCCTCGATCTCTAACATTGCTAGTCTGCTACTGACATTGTTATGTTACACAATAGAACCGAGTACGTCTGATAGGCCCATCATATCTATCAGGCTCGTTGTGTGACTCAATCTCCCATTGGCGCAGCCTCAACTATCGCGGACGCCGCCAGTCGCAGCTTCACTTGGTCTCCCCTTCTCTCTATTTTTGTTTGTGCTGCTAATTTCAATTTCTTATCTTATTTGTGTGTAATTTCTAATTCCTTATTCAATTGGGTGTGTGTAATTTCATGGTTGTGTATTTGGATCAATGGTTTTTCATTTCATAAGAAGAAAAAAAAAAAAGTAAATTGCAATTGTTTTTAACTTTTATGACGTTTTTATTATTTTCAACTTTTCATAGATTAGTAGTTTTATTCTTTTTCAACTTTTTCATACATTTGATTAATTGATTTGGAAGCAACATGCAATTCGTAGTTTATATTATTACGGTTGGTCCATCTGCACTGCCACCAATATGATGAGTCTTTTCTAGATTTTAGAACAATCCAATTGGGTAGGAAATCGATGACTATTGTAACACAGTCCCAGGCACTAGTCTTTGAATTTATTCAGTAAAAATCGTAAAGATTCAAGTAATTTGTGTGGTACAAAAAATTCGTCGTCCTCACAATGAGCTAACAATTATATGGTTCAAATTCGCATCGGTGAAAATCGAACCTAACATCTTTTACTTACAAGTGAACATGAATATCACTAAATCGTAGTACTAAGTGGCTTTGGAATGCCTTCTTGAGAGATTTGTTTATGTACGAGATACCAACTGCAAAGGAGAATTATTCACCAGAAAAAATAAAATTTCAAACGACAAGCATGTTTTTCAGATCTGTTAAGAAATTCGTCATGGTAGTAATGCGGAAGCCTTCCTCCTTTCTTCTATTTCACCATTTGGCTAGATACGACGCTTCACCGTAGTAGTTCACAGCTCAGACCTCAGCTTGATGATGATGTTCTGCCAATGATCGGGCTGATCCCTTAATCCCTTAATCCCAGCATCAAAAGGATCAGCAGAGGATTCTACTTCTCTGTTTCTATGCTAATCGTGTGTGGATGATATCCGCTGAGAACTTGTGCCTCTAAAATGTGTAAACTCGTAGTAGTACATGAATTGATTTAAATGCATGCACACCTATTAAACAACAGTGGTAGAACTTCACCCTCCTCCCTTTTAGAAGAACACTAGGGAAATGTTTAAGTCAGGTTATCGGTTTCTGCGTATACAAGCTATATGGTGCACTGGTGTCTTACAAATTATCTTCATAAACTTTTAAAGAATCTGTATGAGATCGCGTATGATGATCGAGAGATTTTTCACGATGGAAGTGGGAGAAGGAATTCAAGGGTTCAACATCATTGCTTATAGTTTATGCTTTTCCCGTCTTATATGATTTTGACAATGTTGTACTCCTAACAACTGATTGGTGCCTAGAGTAGTGGACATACTCTGTAGTTTCTTTTTATCCGTTTCATGTCATTTTTTGTGCTATGAACTGCGTTTAGCCTTTCTCTGTGTCTCTCTTTCAGAGGATCATGATCAGGACAGTACCATTGTTGCTGTTAACATCATCATAATTGTTTTTCTGCCTACTTTCAACTTCTGGCAGATTCTTATTTGGTTTGTATCATTTAACAACTGCATCAACATGGATGATTCTGTGCTGCAACTTGCAACTTCATCCTGTAAATTCTCATAAGTTCTCTCAATTGTTGATGTTCTATCTCACTTGGTAGAACATGTAAATTGCCTTAGGTGTACCATTCTAAAACATTCCTTGGTGGAAGCCGCAAGGCTGCTGTATTTCCTTTGTGCATATAAGCCAAAAATCTCACTCATTGTCAGGATTGCAGCCTAGATGGGTTATCCTGCAAGTGACAGTGACTGGATTATCATGGTTCATATGATCGCCTCAACCATCTATTTATTGAAATAGCTGCTTCTTGCAATGCATAACAACTATATATTTCTCATGTTTTTCCATCCTTTTTCTGCATACTGCAATTTGTTTGGCATTTAAGTGTGTAAATTGAGAAGATACGAGATGCCAACTTTTGGTGCAATTTAACGGATATGGTCCAGGTTGGAGTGAAATATGTTTTTGGATGTTTATCTTACTGAACTGCACCTTGGATAATCAAATGATGGTTGATATATATATGAGGATGCATTTTAGGCATTTCTATAAAAAGCCCCTTTATTTGATGCCTAAGGTGAAGTCTGCAACAAAAAGAATGGTGCCCCTTCACGAACAGAATGGTAGAGTTTAGTTTCCAATGGCCCCGGAGATGGGATCGGCTCAGGCTATTTGAGGAAATGCGTCTGTTGAGTTTTGCAGGTTCCGAGGTCTTAAATCATATATTTAACATGTTTGTATCTCAAACGGTAGTTATAAGAGCAACTCCACCCGTTTTAGGAGCACAAGAGCAAGGGCAAGGACAATGAAATCACCCTTACTATAACAGTAATTGCCTTTGTGCAAATAGTTACGTAGTGAAACTGAGTTGAGTTATAAGAGAATGTTTATCAGAAAAGTTGATTATCTTCCCAATTATATCACATTTCCGTGGCAAAAGTTGCAGTCAACACAAGAAGCCTTTGGAAAGTTTATAATCTGTATTCAAAGTTGATAATTTGCTTGAGGGAAAAATCGGTTTATCCTCTGTGTACTAGACCCTACCATTGAGTTTGAATTTTATGAATGGCTTTGGAATTGACCAGGATCGGGCCAAATTTTCAAGACTCGTGACTTTTACGTTTTAGGTACGTTCTTTCATTAGTTTGTCTATTTCTTAATGCCAAGATACAGTGGTGTTTCATGTTATCCTAACTCAGAGGGTTTTTAACTGTTAGATTTTAGTCATTGTTTCGTTGCTTCCTTGCTTTTGTCCTCTCCTCCCCTACACCTGCAATGCAACAGATTCCCCATTAATTAGAAGTGTTTGCAAGGATGTTCTACACTACAAAATTCAAATTATCGTGTAAGCGTGAAAACTCTCTGGCAGATGTGATGCGAGAATTATACGCACACAAATTAAACCCTTTTTTTGTCAAAGTAGTAAAGATGTAGTAGGGATCGTTCTAGACCGGGGATTAGGAGGGATTGCTAAACACTTGGAAACTGACTTAAAAACTCAAAAACAAAGTTTAAAACACTAAACTCGACTCAAAGAATGCAAAACTAAAAGTTAAAACACTTAAACAAACCTAAAACCCAAAACAACAACTAGAAGACTCAAAACTGCCTAAAAACCCTTTCTGGGCAGTTTTGAGCACCTACACTAATTTGGACGAAATTGGATGAAAACTTGAATCAAAATACTTAGAAACACAAACTAAAACACTTTCTAACTAATTTGGACAATACAAAGACTCAAAGGACTCAAAACAAGTTCAAAAGACTCAAAACTGCCTAAAAACACTAACTAGGCAGTTTCTGACCTTAAACACAAATTTGGACGAATTTAAGATTATAGGTTGATTCAAAACACTTTAAAAC